ACGAAACCAAAAAAACAAAGCGTCCGGCCCAAACGCGGGGGGGGAACTAAGCAAAAGGAAAAGTGTGAAAAATCCGGGCTGGGGGCTTTAGGAAAGAAAGGAAAGCAGATAGCTCAGGAGCGAGTGAAGAACGATTCCGTCTCCTTAACAGGGAAGGTTCCAGAACAATCAGGAACTTTCTGGAAACAATTAAGGCAGACAGGCTGATTACAACACCTGCAGCCAATCAAGAAGCTGCCGAAATCAATTAAGACAGGCAGGCTAATCAGGGCACCTGGGTTTAAAAAGGAGCTCACTTCAGTTTGTGGTGTATGTGCAAGGAGGTGGGAGTAAGAAGCTGAGAGTGAAAAGGCAGACTACTGGAAGATGGAGAAATACAAGTATTACCAGACATCAGGAGGGAGGTCCTGTGGTGAGAATAAAGAAGATGTTGGGAGGAGGTTATGGGGAAGTAGTTCAGGGAATTGTAGCTGTCACACAGTTGTTACAGGAGCCACTGTAGACAGCTACAATCCACAGGACCCTGGGCTGGAACCTAGAGTAGAGGGCGGGCCTGGGTTCCCCCATCCCTCTATTTCCCCCCTCCCCTCACCCCCCCCCCCCCCAACTCCCTACTTGGTACTGGAGGAGTTGACCTGGACTGTGGGTTCCACCAGAGGGGAAGGTCTTTGGCCTGTTCTCTGATCCATTAGGTGGAGCAGCAGAGACTGCAGGGATTGTTCTTCTTCCTTTTCCCCATACTGGCCAGTGATGAGGCCAACTGAGTGAACGGCAGATCTGAGTCACAAAAGTGGCCAAACTGAGCACTGCTGTGAATCTCCGAGGCGAGCAAATCTGCCAATAAGCGCAAGACCCACCAAGGTAGAGGAGGAACTTTGTCACAATATATTCTTGATTAAATATGAACTTGTATACAATTAACAAAAAACAGATTTTTAAAAAGAAACCTAATTATATGACTAATTACCACAACTGTGTAAATGGGTAGTTAAATACTGTAAATAGGTAGTTAGATATTTAACTATCCATTTATATGTGCAGCTACAGTAATTTCACATGCTAATGTAGGCACACAATTGTACACACAATTCTGTTCATGCAAGTGGGCTTCAACCCACTGAAAAAGTGGTCATTAGCTGATGAAGAATTAAGAGAAATTCAAAGTAAAGAAAAATTAGAACAAGTAAAATAGCATGCAGTTAGACTGTGTACCTGCCTAATAAACTATAATAAGAAATATATAAATGTATTACTAAAAGTGCAACCAATAATAATTAAAACTTCTGATGAAAGAACAAAGCCAAGAATTAACTAGCACATAATTCAAGGGAAAGTGTTTATAAATGTCAATCCATTATACAGGCTTACAACATCTGAAATAATTCACCAGCTATTCCCACTTTGTTCTAGAATAGGGAAACTATAATAAAGCCTTAATTTGAAACAGTATGTATCTGTGGTTACAAGATATGGACAAAATATGATCTAATGCTACTTAGAAGAACATTCTGACAGTACATGGAACTGTTCCCAGACATCATCAGAAAGAAGCTTAGTCACAAAACAGATTTGTAGGAAACTCTAGTGACTGATTGATATTTTAATGTTAAAAGTCCTTCCAAAAAGAACATTCTGGTAAGTCCAAAATTCTCTGAATTAATTTTTTCACAGACACCACCTCCACACCCTGTGCATCTGACATAGCAATCAAGTGATCTGATTTGGTATCCTGCAGTTGCAACATACATTGCAATTGTACATGTCCCTTTCTATTCTAGGAACACAACTTAAGTGTCACTTTCATGTATCTTCTTGTAATACTTTGCATTTATTGAGTGTCTTTTTATAAGGTTTTGTCCACAGTTGCTTAAGTTTCACAACAATCATATGAGATAGATAAGTATTATTATTTCCCCATTTTACAGATGGAGAAACTAGGGATATAAAAGTTTAACCGGTTAACCAATAAACATCAGTCTTATTGGTTTTGGTTAACAATTAAACTCTGCTGCTGGCCCCACCCAGGGTCCTGGCTGCTGGCCTGCACCCAGGGATCCACTGCCAGCCCAGGCACAGGGCAGGCAGTGGAGTCCTGGGTGCTAGGCCAGCAGCTGGGAACCCGGATCCTGGGCGGCAGCAGCCGGGAGCCCCGAGTAACACATGGGGGTGCTGCAGCACCCCCACAGCCCTAGTTCCCTGCCTTAACAGTTAACCGTTTAACCGATAGAATTTTAATAGGTTACATGGTTACTATTTTTAAACCCTGTTTACATCCCTAGGAGAAACTGGGGCACAAAGAAGTTAAATACTTGATTCACAGCAGTTCTAGTGTTACAAACTATTTTCAACTGGACTAAGATGGATAGACTCTCAAATGGCATAAATTATCATAGCTCCATTGACTTCAATTCAGTGCTTAATTTGTAATGAAAGAGATGCAGGGGCTCAAGCAATTATTTTACATTCATAACTGATGCAGCAAGTCGACAAATTAAACACTACTTCAATTAAACCATTGACTTCAATGATGCTATGACAATTTAAACCAGCTGAGGATCTATCTGCCCGAGTGTACACTAGAGGATTATGATCTGATTTATTTTAAATTCCCTTTGAGAGTCTTCGTAGACACATGTGCCAAAAAGGGCATTATGCATTATAAATGTTCAAAAGGCACCTAGGAAATTCATCAGCAGACGGTGATGGCTAACATGTGAATGTGTTTCTAGTCATTACATAATGCAATGAAGGATGGCTATACCGTGTAATCAAAACAGGCAGTTGCTTAGTGCAGGAAGGTATTAGGGACAGCAAAACATGCAGTACTTGTTTACTGTGAGAGTGACAGTAAGGTGTTCATTTGCCAGTTTGCTTAAAGCATCAGGAGGCTGCCATTATATCCAATGCCGATATGTAAAATACAGAGTTTAAACACTTGTACACAAGTGTACAGCTATCTTACTTTCCACATCACAGCTACAATCTGAATTACCCTCCCAAGAAATTGCAAATTGCAATAACCTGCTGCAGGTCATACAGCAGGTCACTGTGAGTCCAGTAGTCTCCCAAGAGCACCCCCAGGCTAAAGGATGCATTACATTATGTCATTTGGGATTATCTGTGGGTTTTTAGGCAGTATTAATGGAAAGAAAGATTAAAGATTTTTCAAAGGCTATTAAAAGGTGGTAGCTTCCTCTTGGAATTTCTTCTAATCTATTACACTGATGTCATGTGTGTGCCAAATTTAGAAAGCATTTGATTTTAAAAAATCTGTCCAGCCATTTTAAGGCATTGGCTTATGATCAAAAAATACTAAAACTAAAAATAGAATAAAGTATTTCCTGGTATGCAAGAGAGACCAACATTTAAATACTTAAATTACAGACATGAAGTTCAGACTGCTGAGAAATTAAGCAACTTGTACTTTTGACAAATATCCTGATACATACGCATTTTAAGCAAAAAGCTCTCTACAAGTGATCAGTGTTATTATTTATATTAAGTCTATATCATATGTAGTTTAGGACTGATTTGGTTCTCTTCTTGAAAGAAGGAAGGTGGCTGTGTTGGAACTTCTACCCGTCTTCAAATGGAAGAGACTACACTCGGGTGGCAGATAACTGAGGAGCGTATTGAAACGATCTTGTCATTGATATAACTGATCCATTAGTATTGGCTCAATTTTGGCAGCTTTCATAGTATGGACATATTATTAGAATGAAAGACCAACAAATTCCGACGTGTATTTACCAAGAAATGCTGTTACATAGACAGCGATCACACGGACATCAAAAGCTTCCGTGGCAGGGAGGATCTTCTTTGGGAGCAAGATTTGGTACTTTATCTGTGTATTCCCCAGGGATCAGAATGGTTATACACTGCTGATACTTGCAGAGCTGCCAGCCCTAAGTGTTAACATTAATGAGTCAGACCCCTGACATTATGAGATTGTCTTAAAAATCCTGAGATTTTAAAAATAAAAAGTGTAGGGTTCTTTATATTTGACTTCCGGTTTTGTCGCCTCGAGCAGGAGGCCAGACATTTACTGCTTGCAACAATGAAACAGCCCAGCGGAGAGTCTCACCAGTCTCTGGGCTCCAGACGCTAAGAACAATACCAAGCCGCAACTCGCAGCAGAACACCCAGCGCTAGCACCAGAGCGGTTGGCTCAGGCCCTGCGCGGAGCCCAGCCTGGCGCGGTATTTTAGCTAACAGCTCAGCCGCCGGTAGCGCAAACCCCGCTGTGCCGCCGCGTTGCACAGACCAGCCCTGCCTCCCTCCAGCCCCCACTCCCAGGGCTCCGCGCGCGAACCCGACGGCCTGCAGCCTCCGCCCCGCCCTGCACGGGCCCCAGCGAACCAGCCAGCTCCGCTCCGCTCCGCTCCGCTCCGCTGTCAACGCCCTCTTCCCGCCTGCCCCTCTGCCCCGCCTCTCGACGGGTCACGTGTCCCGGCGCGCTCTGCTGAGTTTCCGGCTCGCTTGCGGCTCCTGGCAGGTAAGGTGGCGGTGACCGCCGGCGCTTACCTGAGGGCGCGCGGTGTTTGATGGGCACGGAGCTGGCCTCAGGGCTGGGCCCCTCGGGGGGGGGGGGCAGGGGCTGAGTAGTCCCCGTCTCGTACCCGTCCTTCCCAGACAGCCCCGGCGCTGCTCGCTGTCTGTGACTGCGGTGCTAGGGGTGTTGAGAAAGGCCTTGGTGTGCGCCCCCCGCCCCAAGGAACACGCCCTGCTCGCCGATTGCTCCCTGTTCAACCGAAGGGGCCTGACTCGGAGCAGCGCCGCTGGTTGAGCGGAGCTGATGTCGCTTGAGGAGACCCCACTTCTCAGCCGGCTCCCGAGCCGTGTCAAGCTCTGGCTGAAAGCTGTCAACTTGAACGCCAGGTGGGAACTAAGCGGCAGCTCGCGTGGCTGGCGGAGCACGGGTCTGAGGTGCGGAGGACAAGAAGCACCACCTCACAAGTGGGCTGCCACATTCAGCACTAGTCTCCATTTCCCTGTGTCTGCAATCAGTAATAGGCTGGGGAGAGTGTGCCTTGTGGTGGCCTGGTTTCAGAGTGACACAGATGTGATAAGAATAACAAGACTGACATTCAGAAAATCAGTTTGTTCTGATGACCGGCTCAAGATGAAAAAAGTGCTCTTGGCTACAGCTGTTATCTAGGCATCTAGAAGCAGCCTGTAATCTAATAAATTCCCAGATTGTGGACCTGTGTTACAAAAGACAACTGCACTCCATCATCAAGGGTGCCAGTGTAATGTTCACATGCTTTCATCCAGACTGCCTAGATACTACAGTGCTAGGGGCCATATAAGTACTTATGGTGAGTGTTAGGCAGCATATTAGATTAGATTATTATAATGGACCCTGCAGCCTTAAAATCTAGATATAGATACCACAGTTTCTATCTTTGTCTAGTGAGGTTAGCCCCTCTTCCAAACCATAGTGTCATGGATGTGAGCAGCTGCTGTAGAAATGGGTATTGTCATCATAACAAAAACACTACAGCCCATGTCCCCTCTTACTAACATAATAGGTGGGATGATGATGTAGAACCCCATGTAAGGGCACCTTTGGGGTTCAAAGATAAAGGCGAGCCATTCTAAAAGCTACAAGTTGTCAACAGTTCCACATGATAAAGAATTGCAAAGGCAGACTGTGTAAAATTTGAATGGATGCTTAATCCTCATCTATTGCCAGGAGGAGATGATTGACCAATACAGCCAGTGCAGTTTCTGTCCAAAACTTAGACATGAAACTTTATTGCCAAGGGTAAAAAAAAATCACAGGTTTCTTCATATCTGTGTATCCTTAGTTTTCAATAGATGTGCGATATATCAAGGGGGTTGGGGCTTATGACTTATGAGGAGAGGCTGAGGGAACTGGGCTTGTTTAATCTGCAGAAGAGAAGAGTCGGGGGGGATTTGATAGCAGCCTTCAGCTACTTTGAAGGGCGGTTCCAAAGAGGATGGAGCCTATTTGTTCTCAATGGTGGCAGATGACAGAACAAGGTGCAATGGTATCAAGTTGCAGTGGGGGAGGTCTGGGTTGGATATTAGGAAACACTATTCCACTAGGAGGGTGGTATAGCACTGGAATGGGTTACCTAGAGAGGTGGTGGAATCTCCATCCTTAGAAGTTTTAAGGCCCGGCTTGATAAAGCCCTGGCTGGGATGATTTAGTTGGTGTTGGTCCTGCTTTGAGTAGGGGGTTGGACTAGATGACCTCCTGAGGTCTCTTCCAACCCTAATCTTCTATGATTTGTTCAGTAGCAAAAAACATTTTGCTGAACAATCCCACAGATTAGAATTAAGATTTTTGTTATATTTGGCAGGGTGGGTTTGATTTAAATCAAGTTTTGTTATAGCTTTTACTGCTACTTCTTGTAAGTATTCTGCTGTGCGTGCATTTCCTGATGTATCAATTGTTTCTGTAAGGAAGACATTTCCTTCTGTTGTCATATAAGCACATACAACTCAATCTAAAACGATGGTACCAGAGAGTAACTAACAACTATATTTTTTGCTCAAACATGAGACTTCAAGAATAGTCCAGAAGGAAGACAGGCAGTCCTTAAGAAAGTAGCATGAAATAAAAAAGTTTACCAACCTGAAGATCCTGCATGTTCAGACATGTTCCTTTCATAATCTTCAAGGCAACTTCCTCTTGAGAAGGAACACTTTTCATGATGTTGTTTCATTTGAGCAACTAGGCCTTGCATTTCTTTGTTGCACTGTTTATATTTTGCATACCTGCCTGTCTTACCCACAGGCAGAGGAACTTCATTAAAATATTCCCAAACTGGGTCTCTTTTATGGCCTGCTGCCATGATAGGCTTTCCCTTCTAGTGAGAGAATGGTATTGGTAGATCTCAAATCAATGAAGGCTACACTCAGAAAGACCTCAAGACTTCTGGAATATGCTGCTCAAACAGTTTCACTTTTGTTTCTATTGCCTGTCCCTCCCTTCTCACATTTATCTCCAGACTTCTTCTCCTTGTCCAGATCTATTCTGCCCCCAACAATCTTCTATTCGTTGAACTTTTTGAAACTCTCTTCATTTTTAGAGAGAGGTAAGGGATTGACTCTGTGTTTCACAATTTGCAGAGAGACAAATCTGTTGAGGTCTCGGGGTTATTTCTCTGAGGGTTATTTCTCACCTCTATATATTATTTATTTATTTAAAACCATTTTTGCTGTTAACAAGCATGTTATCTCTGGAGACACAAATCCACAGTTTGAGAACTGCAAAACTAAGCATCTCTGATGGTATCAACTAGACTGAGCACTGAGTCCCATTGGGTAGATAGAAAGATTAACCTAAATAATCTATACAGAAACTCCTGGAACCGCATAAAATTGGGTCCCTAATCTATGAACTATTGGAATTTATTTACAAAAATTTTCTTAAACATTACATGAATATATTGTCTCATACTATAGAATTTGAATTTATAATCCCTATTCCTTGATGAGACATCTTTGAGGTATAAAGTATGTTAATTAAAACTATCTTTAGATAGGTTTTTTCCTCAAAAATCATTTTCTCAAAAAAATCCAATTTTTAAAAAAAAATCATTGATTTTTATCCACCCTGATACTTGGGGACTTGTAGATTTTTTTTTTTTAATCTTCAGTCTATATAACTGACATTTTTCAAACTAGTAAATTCATTGTATAGTTCTCTAGAAGTGCGATTGGATGATAATTGATTCAATTTGGAATGACATAAGACAAGTTTTATGAAATGGCGGCTGTGATTGCAGAGCCATTGGCCATTATCTTTGAAAACTCGTGGCGAACCGGGGAAGTCCCGGATGACTGGAAAAAGGCTAATGTAGTGCCAATCTTTAAAAAAGGGAAGAAGGAGGATCCTGGGAACTACAGGCCAGTCAGCCTCACCTCAGTCCCTGGAAAAATCATGGAGCAGGTCCTCAATGAATCAATTCTGAAGCACTTACATGAGAGGAAAGTGATCAGGAACAGTCAGCATGGATTCACCAAGGGAAGGTCATGCCTGACTAATCTAATCGCCTTTTATGATGAGATTACTGGTTCTGTGGATGAAGGGAAAGCAGTGGATGTATTGTTTCTTGACTTTAGCAAAGCTTTTGACACGGTCTCCCACAGTATTCTTGTCAGCAAGTTAAGGAAGTATGGGCTGGAAGAATGCACTATAAGGTGGGTAGAAAGCTGGCTAGATTGTCGGGCTCAACGGGTAGTTATCAATGGCTCCATGTCTAGTTGGCAGCCGGTATCAAGTGGAGTGCCCCAAGGGTCGGTCCTGGGGCCGGTTTTGTTCAATATCTTCATAAATGATCTGGAGGATGGTGTGGATTGCACTCTCAGCAAATTTGCGGATGATACTAAACTGGGAGGAGTGGTAGATACGCTGGAGGGGAGGGATAGGATACAGAAGGACCTAGACAAATTGGAGGATTGGGCCAAAAGAAATCTGATGAGGTTCAATAAGGATAAGTGCAGGGTCCTGCACTTAGGACGGAAGAACCCAATGCACAGCTACAGACTAGGGACCGAATGGCTAGGCAGCAGTTCTGCGGAAAAGGACCTAGGGGTGACAGTGGACGAGAAGCTGGATATGAGTCAGCAGTGTGCCCTTGTTGCCAAGAAGGCCAATGGCATTTTGGGATGTATAAGTAGGGGCATAGCGAGCAGATCGAGGGATGTGATCGTTCCCCTCTATTCGACATTGGTGAGGCCTCATCTGGAGTACTGTGTCCAGTTTTGGGCCCCACACTTCAAGAAGGATGTGGATAAATTGGAGAGAGTCCAGCGAAGGGCAACAAAAATGATTAGGGGTCTGGAACACATGAGTTATGAGGAGAGGCTGAGAGAGCTGGGATTGTTTAGCCTGCAGAAGAGAAGAATGAGGGGGGATTTGATAGCTGCTTTCAACTACCTGAAAGGGGGTTCCAAAGAGGATGGCTCTAGACTGTTCTCAATGGTAGCAGATGACAGAACGAGGAGTAATGGTCTCAAGTTGCAGTGGGGGAGGTTTAGATTGGATATTAGGAAAAATTTTTTCACTAAGAGGGTGGTGAAACACTGGAATGCGTTCGTTACCTAGGGAGGTGGTAGAATCTCCTTCCTTAGAGGTTTTTAAGGTCAGGCTTGACAAAGCCCTGGCTGGGATGATTTAACTGGGAATTGGTCCTGCTTCGAGCAGGGGGTTGGACTAGATGACCTTCTGGGGTCCCTTCCAACCCTTATATTCTATGATTCTATGAAATGTCAAAAAGCAGGGTGGATAAATATCAATGATTTTTTAAAAAAAAAATCAGATTATTTTTATTTAAAATCAGATTTTTTAAATCAATTTGATTTAAATCAAATCCACCCTGATTTCATTGTATCTTTTCTGTTCACAGTGAAGAAATGAACCGAGGGATGATGCTGAAACTGGAAAACCTGGTCCAGTTACATTGTGCTTGCAGACAGCTGCACAGTCTTTCTTACAGGAAAATTCACAGAACACACTGGAAGCCTGTGAAGTCATCCACATACCCCATGCGGCCAATTCAGCCGCACCCACAGCTTTGGCAAACAGACACATTCATCAGTGCTGTGCTCTCACAATATAGGCTTTTAGCTACAAAGGAGGTAATGAACAAGTTCCAACAACTATCCCTGTCTGAAAGTACAAAGTGCAAAAAAAGCAATTTTTGAGCATTTTCATTATATAAATAGAAACTCTGTTAGTGATGAATTTATTGTGTATAAGATTGTTACTCCACTGTATAGAGAATTTACTTTAGATTTACAAGACATATTAATATATATGTAGATGCATTGCAGCTCTCTCCCGAACATTCATTTCAAGTTTTTTAAATCCAAATGTTGCAACACCAAAAATCTGAAAGAAAAACGGACTATAAACAAAAGTGAAAATGATTTTCATTGTTCAAAATGAGCGAGATGCAAAAAACAGTAAAAATGCTGCAAAGTGATTTTTAAATATTCACTATTTTAACAGTTCTTTCAGTAATTTTTTTGTAATGTAGGTAAAGAAATTTGTTTACAACTTACAATTTTTGTTTTCATTGGCCCTTTAAATATTGTTTATTAGTCATTCCTTAATTTATGCCACCCATGTATCCTTACGCACGTGTCTTACTCCTTTGTAGGGGAAAAGACCAGGGAAACAGAAATTACCACCAATAAAACCTAAAATAGAAAGGCAGGAGGTAGAGATACAGCAGAGGATGACAGCTGAAGATCTTGCAAGAGCTATGGATAAAGACATAGGTGAGCCAATTTATTCTTTTGAAAGAAGATCCAGCAATCTTCTATTTAAGACAATAATGGAGTTTTGAAGAATGCTATAGGAAATGTCATGCTGGAATTATCTATATTATAGTTGGATTAACACACCTTGTCTCATCAGGATCCACAATAATCCCCTGTCCATTGCCAGACAAACTTCTTATATCAGAGTTTTAACAAAATGAAAAGAAAATGTTAGTAGCCATATAATCCTGATTATGAACATTTTGTGGAACACCACCGTTAGATAAGACATATTTTTGCCTTAATTGAGGTGACTTTTTTTTGTATATATGTCTCTGTCACCTACATCTTCTGTATGTGATTCCCCCCCCACCCCCCCATGTTCTTCATTTTCCAGCCAACAGGTAGAGAATTAGAATAGCACCATCTTCCTATGGTGAAATGCTTTACATATGAGATAAATTGTGAATGAAATTGACTAGGATTATGCAACTGTTTTTAAGCAAATGTTTCAGTGCAGAAGCATAGTATCACTCTAACACTACATTTTTAGCACAGCTTTCCACCGGACATCAGTCAGGAAGGGCTTGGTGTGTTGAGGTCCCCAAGCTGAAAACTGATGGTAAAAGACCAAACAAATCGCAGTGGTGTTGCCATATTAGTGCATGTTTTGAGCAGCGTGTATAGTTCTTGACTTTTCACTAGCAAGCAAGCAAGCAAATTATAATTCCACTCTTTTAAAATATTTTCTCATCTCGAACAATGTGGGCCTTGTCTGCATTGGAAATTAGCCTCAATTTCAACCATTGCTGTAGCTGTACTAGTGCAAAACCCAAATGTAGGCAGAGAAAGCTGGGATTTACATCAGTAGAGCTTACATCTGTTTGAAACAGGAGTAACCTCCGTCCATGCAAATTGCAACTTCCCTTATTTACATTAGAGGTTTGCAGTGGTGCAGCTGCAGTGATGGCTGAAATTGGGCTATTTTCCCAGCGCAAAGTTTTACTTACTAATATAAACTAATAAAGTTTTAGGGGCATAGTGCTACATTTTTACACTTTCAGCAAATATTATACAATTGATGTCTGAAATCGTTTATCAGAATCATATTAATTTTCAGGGTTTTTTTTATACCTAATTCTGTACTCATGTAAATGCCCACCTTAACAGCCTTTCTCAGCACAGTGCTGAGAATAAAGAAAATCTGCCATGTCTCTTTGTGTATGTCTGAGATGTCTGCTTACTCACTAAGTTTTCCAATAGTGCTCATGTCACTCATTAGCAGCTCTTAATTGTTGCAATGTTTCCTGCATTTCCAGTACTACAAAAGAGGGGGAATGAACCGATTTGCCTGAGAGTTTTGTCATCCTCTGTGGCACTTCTCTACCATCAAATTCAGATGAGTTGAGTTCCTTTGATCTGGTAACCACTGAAATAAGTAAATAAAACAATTGGCTCAATCTAGACATTTTTAAAAAATGTTCCCCAGGTGATAGGAGAAAGTGTCCTCTTATTTGTTGGTGCTGTAGCACACTCAGTATGAATTATAATGGGATACGCTGGGATAATAGAGGAGGTACGTCTGTAAAATAAACCCATTTGCTCACTTTCTCAGAAACCTGGTGGGGGAGGAGAGTCTTACCCTTGGTTGTGCATGCGTTAGAGGGCAGAATTCGGCTGTTAATTTCGGCTGGTTCCTATTTGCAATTGTACGGTCCCCCCTTCCCCCCTTCACAGTTGCATAATATACCTCTGGCAACTGCTGCTATAGAATTAAATGGGAAAGTGTTTTCAGCAATCCCTAATGCAGTTTAACACCTGGAAATAAGGAACCAGCGCCATGTGACCAGCGTATTCCCATGGACCACCAGTAAATACTTTTTTTGCATCACCAGTTGTCCGGGTTTTGCACTACCACATGTACATGAAATTTCGGTTCTATTACTAGTCATTTGTCCTGTGCATAGGATGAAAATATATCATTGTATACCGTTATACAAGGCACTGGTGAGACCTCACCTGGAATACTGTGTGCAGTTCTGGTCTCCCATGTTTAAGAAGGATGAATTCAAACTGGAACAGGTACAGAGAAGGGCTACTAGGATGATCTGAGGAATGGAAAACCTGTCTTATGAAAGGAGACTCAAGGAGCTTGGCTTGTTTAGCCTAACTAAGATAAGGTTGAGGGGAGATATGATTGCTCTCTATAAATATATCAGAGGGATAAATACTGGAGAGGGAGAGGAATTATTTCAGCTCAGTACCAATGTGGACACAAGAACAAATGGATATAAACTGGTCATTGGGAAGTTTAGACTTGAAATTAGACAAAGGTTTCTAACCATCAGAGGAGTGAAGTTTTGTAATAGCCTTCCAAGGGAAGCAGTGGGGGCAAAAGACCTATCTGGCTTTAAGATTAAACTCAATAAGTTTATGGAGGAGATGATATGATGGGATAACATGATTTTGGCAATTAATTAACCTTTAAATATTCATGATAAATAGGCCCGATGGGATGTTAGATGGGGTGGGATCTGAGTTACTACAGAGAATTCTTTCCTGGGTATCTGGCTGGTGAATCTTTCCCATATGCTCAGGGTTTAGCTGATCGCCATATTTGGGGTCGGGAAGGAATTTTCCTCCAGGGCAGATTGGAAGAGGCACTGGAGGCTTTTCTCTTTCCTCTGTAGCATGGGGCACAGGTCACTTGCTGGAGGATTCTCTGCTCCTTGAAGTCTTTAAACCACGATTTGAGGACTTCAATAGCTCAGACATAGGTGAGAGGTTTATTGCAGGAGTGGATGGGTGAGATTCTGTGGCCTCCGTTGTGCAGGAGGTCAGACTAGATGATCATAATGGTCCCTTCTGACCTTAATATCTATGAATCAAAAAATTGAAAATTATGCATATTAATAAAATAATTAAATCATCTAATTAGATGATCCTGTTTCAGAACAGCTTATTGAAGATGATTGGCCCATATAAATATACAATATTATAGGAATGTTTTATATTAATAGCATATTTTGGGAAGATGTACATTAACTACTGTGTGTATAAATCATTTATTTATACTATTTATTCACGTACAACATACCGAGAAAAGGAAGGAAAACTGCTACTTTTCCTTCACTGCCCTGCACTTCCTTGAATGGAGCATTGAATGAAAGCACATACTGTATTAATGGGTACCTCTATCTCAGGTATCTTCTGGAGGATCAAGTGTTAAATGTTTTTACTATTTCTTTAATCAGATCATGTGTTTGAAGCCCTGCTACTCACAGGCATTGACCTAGACTCACTAGAACCAGATTCCGTTTTGGAAGAAGTCTGGATCAAGGAAGTTGTTAAAAAATCAGGGATGAAGTACAAATGGGCAAAATTAAAACAAGAAAAAGTCAGAGAAAATAAAGATGCTGCGAGAAGGTATAATTGTGATTGTTCTTTTGATTTTTTCCTACTACTTTTAAAATAGCTCATTTGGGATACACAGCTGATAATATTTAAAAGATAAATTTTAACTTCTGGTTTGATTCCTTTGCCCATGTAATTGCTACATCAATGTTAAGATGCTTTCTGTTTTAGTTTATGTTGATTTTTGTGAAACTGTCTAAAAATGTTGCTTCTTGCTTCATCTAATTGGGATTGCTGTATTAATTGATGCTGATTTAAGTAAGATTGTTTGCTATAAAGAGGGGAAAAATGCTTTAGTTAGCAATGATTTTTTATTACATTTATTTCTTTGTGAAGTCTGGGGAAGAACTTGACTGTTCTATTAAACACTGAGCTATGATACATGGCTACTAATTATGCATAGAGGTCGTTATTGCCCATCGATATTACACAGAGTGTTTGACAAAACGAATGTTTTGCTATTATTTTAGGCCTCCTGCTGATCCAGTTTTATTAACCCCAAGGCCTCCAGTTGTTACTATATTGGGCCATGTTGATCATGGGAAAACAACTTTACTTGACAGTCTGCGAAAAACTCAAGTGGCGGCAATGGAAGCAGGAGGCATCACCCAGCATATTGGTGCCTTTCTTGGTATGATTTAACCATACATATAACAGTTTGTTATACACTATATATAGTAGTCAGCTTTGCTTACAGTTTACTTGAACTGAATACAATTATATGCAAGGTTTTTTGCTATATAGCAGAAAAAAACGTGAACATACTGCTTGGATGGACCTTTAAAGCATTAAGCATACCATTTGCAATGTTGAAATAATACTATAAGGTCTCGGTCATTTGGGGACATTAAAGATCCCGTGGCACTTTTTGCAAGAGTGAGGATTTAAAAAAACCCTGCATCCTAGCCCAATTCCAATTTTGGTAATTGTAGTGTGCCTACCTGCCATTCTTCTTGTAGTTACAATTGCATATATTGTTCTTCCTTCCTGTCCTAGAGAGAGGTAGCATGGTCTAGTGGAGAGTACGTTGGGTTTGGATTCCGCATTCTTTTGTTTTGTTCACAGCTCTGCCACTGACCTTGCTGTGGGCAAGTCATTTCATATTTGTGCTTCAGTTTCCCTGCCTGTAAAATAATTATACTTCTCTTCTTTTATAAAACTCTTAGAAATACGTAGATTAAAAGTGTTACGTATAGTTTAAAGTGTTGGATAGTGTTGCTTTTTTAAACTGAAGGCTTGCTGTGCTTCACCTCAAAACTCTCTCTGCATTTCAGTGGTGGGTGAAGTGATGTATGTACTTTAGGATGTTTATGGATAAAAGGCCCTGTGATAGATTTTCAGAGGGGACTGAGGCAGTCAGGCATCCAACTCCCTTTCGATAAGCGTCCAGTTCCGATTGTAGATCTGCTATAGATCCCCTTGGAAGCCCCAGTCTTTATAAATTAAACTCATTGTCATCCTTTAACCACTGAGTTTGTCTCTAGGGTTATGCTCATTAGTAGCACTGCTTTTTTCACATTTTTTATATCTGCTATGACAGAAACAGTGTGTTAACTTTCATAGATGATATACAAATTGTTCATAGAGGAAGGTGTATTAGTTCAAACAAAACTATGGGAAAGATTATGCTTGAAGTGTATTGTGTTTTAAATTATGTTTTCACAGTATATTTGCCTTCTGGGGAAAAGGTAACTTTTCTTGATACTCCAGGACATGCTGCCTTTTCAGCAATGAGGGCAAGGGGTACACACATCACTGATATTGTCATATTGGTTGTAGCCGCAGAAGATGGAGTAATGAAACAAACAATAGAATCTATTCAACATGCTAAAAATGCCAAAGGTACGGTATATTTGACCTTTTAACATTTCATTTTTTTTACATTTGTGGTGTGTTAATATCCAGCACTATAAACCAAGACATGCTGTAGTAACAATTCAAAGAATAAACACGCGTACAAAACATATATCAGCCTGTCCTCTCCCACAAAACATAATCCTCGAACCAAATCCAAGTCCATTCAGGTTGGGGATGTTTTTCTCCTTAAAACAATCCTATGGAATAACTGAATGTATCCAATGAAGTGAGCTGTAGCTCACAAAAGCTTATGCTCAAATAAATTTGTTAGTCTCTAAGGTGCCACAAGTCCTCCTTTTCTTTTTGCGAATACAGACTAACACAGCTGCTACTCTGAGACCCTTGTGTATCAATATAAATGTCTAATACATTCTGAGGCCAGAAGGGACCGTTGTAATCATCTAATCTGACCTGTATAGCACAGCCCATAAAACTTCCCCAAAATAATTTAATAGAAAACATCTTGCAGAAAAACATCCAATCTTGATTTTAAAATTGTCAGTGATGGAGAATCCACCACCACCTGTGGTAAATTGTTCCAGTGGTTGGTTACTCTCAACTTCTGGCCATTGGATAAGATTGTACCTTTCTCTGCTAGACCTGAAGAACCCATTATTAAATACTTGTTCACCATCGAGATACTGTAATCAAGTCACCCTTAACTTTCTCCTTGTTAAGCTAAATATACTCAAAGAGCTCAATCTATCACTATAAGTCATGTTTTCTACTCTTTTAATCATTCCCATGGCTCTTCTCTGAACTTGCTCCAATTTATCAACATCCTTTTTCAATTGTGGGCAACAGAACTGGACATAGTATTACAGCAGCAGGTGTACGAGTGCCAAATACTGAGCTAAAATAAACCTTTCTACTCCTACTTGAGACTTCCCTGTTTATGCATCCCAGGATCACGTTAATTTTCTTGGCCACAGCATCTCATTGGGAGCTCTTGTTCAGCTGATTATCGACCACAACCCCCAAATCTTTTTCAAAGTCACTGCTTCCCAACATAGAGTCCCCCATCCTGTAAGTATGGCCTACCTTCTTTGTTCCTAGATATGTACATTTACATCTAAATTTAAAATGCATATTCTTTGGTTGAGCCCAGTTTACCAACCAATCCAGATCTTTCTGAGTCAGTGGTCTGTCCTCTTAGTTGTTTACCACTTCCCCAACTTTTGTAAACTTTTATCAGTGATGATCTTATGTTTTCTTCCAGGTTATTGATAGAAATATTGAGTAGCATACAGCCAAGAACTAACTCCTAAAGGACCCCACTGGGAATTGTACCTGTTCAGTGCTTTCCAGATCATATCTGGTCTTGGAGGAATGTACTACCTACGCCTGATCCCACTGATTGCTTTTTAACCCCAATCTGCAGAATGGAGGGACTTCAGTAGCATCTCCCTAGAATCATAAGGCTAGTTCCCTCTACTCATTTTATAGAGAAATCAGAATTATTCAGGTGTAGCAGTTTCATAATTCCATTTTGAAAATGTCTTTGCAATTTCAGAAGTCTTTGTCAGCTTGTCATTCTATGGTCTAAACTTGTTTCCAAATCACTTTCAACTTTTCAGGGTCTTATAATCTTTAGTTTTTTCACATAGAACAGTGACATGGCCATCACTGGGATTTTTCAGTATCTTCAGTATTTTTTTTCTTGATTTCTATAGGCTTAATATTAAATTTTTTATCGTAGCCTAGATATTATCACATTAATTACAAATATATTTGCATGTAACTCTTTTTAAAAAGCTTTCTGTATTATTACTAACTCAAGGCAACTGATTTTTCTTGACATGTGTGGAAGTTTTTTTTTTTCTTTATCATTATCACTATAGTTAAGGTGGAACTTTTATTCATAGGAAGGTAAATTTCAATAATGATTTTGCGAAATATTTTTTTTAAATAGCTCTAAAGTTGTTTTGTGGGTTAGATCTGTGCCAGTGAACGACAGTAAAGTCTTTGATATTCAAATATGGGCTCCTTGCTAAAGAGACCTTTTTGAAATATGCTGATGGTTCTTTTGCTATCTCAAGATTTTCTTCTTGAGCTTCTTGTAAAGTTTTAGCTCTTCTACCACCAAAAGAAAAATGGATCTAAACAATGCTATGAAAAGACATTTTCCATCTTGGGCCACTCACATGATCTCAGCAGCCTTAGCTAGGTTGCATTGTAATTAACTCTTTTACATCAAATTGACCAGGGCTTAAATTCCCATTTTTTTCACAGTGTATAGGTTAGGCAGGAGTTTGCAGAATCACTTTGAGTGGAGAGAAGATTAAATGTTCTAAAGTAGTTTTGGCAAATGCACCACCACAAAATTGTTCTGACTTTTGATGAAATTGAGAGCAATGTGATGCACAGAGAAGAGGAAAAAATGCTTTTTTTCCTCTACAGTTCTCAGAGGGTGGACCCCCAGCTGCCGAAGGGTCTCTGTTATAATAAACTTCCTTGACTGAGGGTGTGGGAGGGGTAGGTGGCAACCCCTTTGACACCCATTAATGCTGCATGTAGCTAGGCTATATGGATCACTACAGAGGGAGGCATGAAGAGTTTCCTTTCGTGCTGCTTCTACACCACTGGTTACAGCCCACCAGGCATGAGAATCCTTCCAGATTTCCAGTTCACATGCTAAAGCATATGTTTTAAAGCCCAGAATGGGACATCAGAAAACTTTATTTGTGGTGGACAGAGAGAAGCTAACTTTGCACTTGCAGAATTCTACTATAGTTATTACACCTACATAACTACACCTCTAGCTTTTGTGAATAGAATTATTCCTTACTACTTTAATTTTGCTAGTGAATACAAATGAACATTAATGTTGATTCTCTTTGTTGACTGATGCATATTGTGCAGTTCCTTAATATAGATATTGGTAACAGGCATCTTAGAAACAGCTAGGATAGATAGTACTGAGTATTATAGGTTCATAGATTATAAGTAGGGTCCTACCAATTTCAAGGCCATGAAAAACATGTCATGGACTGTGAAATCTGGTATTTTGTGTGCTTTTACCCTATAATATGCAGATTTCATGGGGAAGACCAGCATTTCTCAAATTGGGGGTCCTGACCCAAAAGGGAGTTGTGGGGGGGTTGCAAGGTTATTTTAGGGCAGTCGCGGTATTGCCACCCTTACTTCTGCGCTGCTGCCTTCAGAGTTGGGCAGCCAGAGAGTGGCGGCTGCTGACTTAGGCCCCAGCTCTGTGAGCAGCATCCTAGAAGTAAGGGTGGCAATACCATATCATACCATCCTTACTTCTGCGCTGCTGCTGACGGTGGCTGTGCCGTCAGAGCTGGTCTCCCGGCCAGCAGCAGCTGCTTTCCAGCTGCCCAGCTCTGAAGGCAAAGCCACCACTAGCAGCAGTGCAGAAGTAAGGATGGCATAGTATGGTATTGCCACCCTTATTTCTAGGCTGCTGCCTGCAAACCTGGGCCCTCAGTCAGCACCCGCCACTCTGTGACCGCCCAGCTCTGAAGGCAGCAGTGCAGAAGTAAGGGTGGCAATACTGTGACCCCCCCAATAACCTTGCGAACCCTTCCCCTCCTCCCCCACAACTCCCTTTTAGGGTCAGGACCCCCAATTTGAGAAACGCTGATCTTCCCTGTGAAATCTGTATAGTGTCAGGTAAAAGCACACAAAAGACCAGATTTCACCATCTGTGATGCATTTTTCGTTGCTGTGAATTTGGTAGGACCCTAATTATAATAATCTACTCTGACCTCTTGCATAACACACATTAGTAACATTCTATTATATTGGGTAAGGACACAGTAAGAAAAAGATACTTGGATATGATACTAGAGATACTTTAGCACTACTGTCTATTTACAAAATGTCACTCTGGAGCTAGTGTTTGTGGCTTTATTGCAGTGTTACTAGCACCAGTTTTAATAAAAACAGAATAAAAAATACTTCTTGTGTTTTCCCATAATTTTGCAACCCAAAACAGCAGTGGTATCATTTTATTAATGTAATTTTCAATGTTTAGACAGTTTATGAGCATTGTTTTAAGCCTAGCAAACAAACGTGCTTGTTGAATGTATAAACAGGATTCACTTGTGTTTCATGTAGCAAACAGTAATAACTGAAGAAAAGGCACATTTATCTAAGCTCTAAATTAAGGTAATCTTGTGATACTGGTATGAGAGAGAGATACTGATTTCTTTCTCAGTTCCTATCATCCTTGCCATAAACAAATGTGACAAACCTGAAGCTGATCCTGAAAGAGTGAAGAAAGAATTGCTGGCTCATGATGTGGTTTGTGAAGAGTATGGGGGTGATGTTCAGGCTGTACATATGTCTGCACTTAAGGTAAAATTTTGATGGATTCGGTCATGTTCGGGAAATTCTGCCATGTGGAATACTTTGATTTGGCATTTGGAAAATGAGTTTTGACTTGGGGCCTACTCCTGGAGTATGCTGAGTGCCCTGAGCTCTCAATGGAGTCAGTTGGAACCAAGAGCTCTCAGTTTCTTGTTCACTAAAGGCCTGAACTTGCAAGAGACTATCAGTAGAATTACAGACTTCCAGTTGCCTCTGATTTTTGTTAGTGGGTATTTGTTTCAGACTTCTGTCATTGACTCATATTTGTGCTTTAAGTAAAAGGCATCCAGAGGAGTTAGTGCTGAAGTTAGGCAGAAAGAAATAATTCAAAACCAAGTATAAACCTTCATAATAAAGTTTGGACACAGCTAGCAGGAGAGAGTAAGCCTCATAAATCTACTTCCTGTAGACAACTGGTAGTTAATTACTATAATCTGAAATCCTAGCTTTGCTACTGGTACTTGATTCTGTGGTGACCAAAATTATCTTTATCTTGCCAGAAATTAAATCTGGAACATTGCAATTACTTTATTGCTGTCTTTCTGAATTGAACCTATTAATGGGAGCGCTGAGGAAGCTGGGGACAGCTGCTCAGAGTCAGGAGACAGAGGGCAAAATTAGTTCTGAAATGGGAAAAGGGTGCACCCTAAATACCACACCAGTTTCCTCCTCCTACCCTATTTGCTCCTTGTCCCCACATCCACCTCTCTCCACTCCTCAAAAAAAAAAAAAAATCAAGTGTGGAAAATATTTTTAAAAGAATTGTTTTACTAATAGGAAGATTAAACTCCCTTCCTATTTCCAGCACTAACCAGGCTGCTATTGTTCATGATATGCAAGGCCCCCTCTCTCCCCTTCATGCTTCCTGATCTTTGTTACTTGCATTCAGGACTGCTAGCACCGCAGTCTTAGGCCTTGATCATGTATTACTTCGGTGACCCCTCTGGTCTATTGGATTGCATTGTGGAATTGGGAACTATGGATCATGTGTATTGGGACAGATGCTGGTACTCAAAATTCATCTTCTGATCCTATTGTAACTAGCTGCCTCCTTAATTCTTAACTGTTTTTTGATACAGGGTGAGAACCTAATGGCTTTAGCAGAGGCAACTGTTGCTCTAGCAGAGGTTTTGGAACTGAAGGCAGACTCCACAGGCCTAGTAGAGGGAACCATAATAGAGTCTCGCACAGATAAAGGAAGAGGGTAGGTCAGCTAATTGTCTGTCTTCCTTCCAATTTTAATTAATGTTTCTGTTAAGTTTATTTGACTTGGTTAAAGAGTCATTGTCCAGGTGGTTTCCAAAATTAAGGTTTTAATTGAAAAAATATATATATAAAACTCTAGTATTCTTAGTATATTTCAATAAAACTTCATTTTTAAATGAAAAAAAGATTGTTTGGGTTTAACAATTCGTCAGCAATGTTTGCAATCCAAACGTTGCAGTATTTATTGCCTTATTGCATGGGAATCAGAAAATGAACAGTTAGGAACTGATTGGGCTATTTTATTTTCCAGTGGAACAAAGTATTGTATAAGCAGACAGCATATATGGTAAAACATAAACTAAATTTGTTTAAATAAAATATTAACAACGCAGATTTTTTTTAAAATTAAAGAATATTAATCTGACAGTTTTTTAACCTACATAGTTTACTTACTATAAAAGAGAACTTTTTATGAACAATCCCCTAAAAAGTGTCTTTGTTCTTTAAAATGGTGATATTTATAGGGTACCTGCAAAAGAAAGAAATCAATTTTTATATTTCTTTATATATTTCTTTATATATAATATAAAGGGAGACCTGGAAGGTTTCTTTTCAACAAATTCTGCTTGATGTTTATTACCTTAGAAATATAAGCAATGTGTCTGGTACTTCCTGGATTTTCTGGAGGACTGTTTGGTGTCCCATATTTTGTGATTTTTCTCAGTGCCTAATTGAAGAGGAGGAGGTTGCTGAATTTTTAACATCTTTATACAACTAAAGATACCAAAAAGGATACAGCCCATTTTTTTTTCTTTGCAAATCTCCTTTAAAACTCCCTCTGCAAGGTGGTGAAATGTTTAAAAGCTGTGTTCTGAGATCATAGCCCATACTGTTCTATATATGCTTTTTTCGTCTTTTCTTAAATGCATGTAACTGTAAATATGATAGCAAACTTACCTTTTTCTGTCTTCCCCTTTCACCTCCTCCTAGTCCAGTAACCACGGCCATAATTCAGAGAGGAACTCTGAGAAAAGGATGTATTCTGGTTGCAGGTAAAAGCTGGGCAAAAGTGCGCCTGATGTTTGATGAGAACGGCAAAACAGTAGATGAAGCCACTCCCAGCATGCCAGTGGAAGTTGTGGGCTGGAAGGAAATCCCTTCAGCCGGAGCTGAAATCCTTGAAGTAGAATCTGAGGTATAGCAAGAATAACTTGATGCGTAGCTAATACACTTGTATTGCAGTATGTAACGTAGATGGAATTAAATACAAAAAAGGTAACGTTCATTCAAAATGAGCCATGGTAACTAAGGCTTGAAGACAAAACCTGGGTACTAAATGTGGCCTGGAATAGGTTTTCCACAACAGGATTGAAGAACCCACTGAAACACACAACCCTTATTCCCTCCCCTTCTCCAGCACTTTCACGTTGATCTGCTCCACATTTAGCCAAAGAAAGCAATCTATCAGTGGGATGGAAGTGTAACCTGTGGTCTCCTATTTTCCTTTACTTCTGCTTGACTAGCTGGTGTCTGGGTGGCTTCTCTTTCAGTATTGCCTTGGCTGAGTGTCCAGGAATAATTACTAATTTCTTCCCCCATGCCTCTCAAAGGACTTAGGTTGTCCGCTCTTCAGTAGCATATAATAATAATTACTTTAAAACATGACCTAAAATAAACCAAGAATTAATGGGCTCATTATTCTTAATCTTAGAATTAATGAGACTCAAAATAAAACAAATTGGTGTGCATAACTTGTTTTAACTTAAACTCTGCCAAAGCTAAAGGAGGTAGGTACTGTTTGTGTCATTAGAGGGAACAAGCAGTATCATTTAAGACTCCAGCCTCTCCAAAGCTTCCTGTGTTTTTCCCTGACCCTTTTATAAGACCAAATGTCAGAAGCCCACCTCTGATATCAGGTTTCTCACCTCAGCGTTCTCCTTGTGACCTTGGAGTCCCTTAAATATACCTTTCCAGTGACTTTTTGATATCAAATAATCTGAAGAGAGGCTACAACAATCTCTTATGAATTGGCCATTGTATGTTTTCTAAATCCATTTAGGATTCTGTTTGTTGCTTTGGATAAATGGTTCTGGTGTCAGTTTTTTGGTGCCATGGAGTGAGGTGAGAGATACCTAGGAGCAAAATAATGCAGTTTATTCCACAGTAGTTTATGGAATTGTTACCATGCCCTTGTGTGTTGGCTTGAGAACTTGTCTATCTTGGGCACCTCTCCTGTTGTCTTCTGTGTAAAATTAGGTTGTTTTGCTTTTAATTTTAAGTATTATTTTACAGTCTAGCCAAACAAAGTTAAAATTAAGAAAGCGCTTGAATGGTGTCCATTAGATAATCATCTAGAAAAGCGTTTAAGACCAAGCTGCCCAGTACTATATATTGATAAGTAACAGTGCTGTCTCTTCTGCCAAGCAAAGGGCACGTGAAGTTGTTGACTGGAGAAACTATGCTGAACAACAGGAGAAGATCAAACAGGATATGGAAGTTATTGAAGCAAAGCAAAAGGAACACAAAGATGCATACAAGAAAGAGCGAGAGAGCCTAGCCAATCTGACCTGGAGACAGAGAAAAGCAGCGTTATATAAAACCAACAAACATCTAATAGCTATGAGGTCTAAAGAGAGAGTGGAGAGTGACAGAAACGTGCTACCTGTAATTGTTAAAGGTGCTGTTATGTTTTAGTGCATATTTCCCAAGTCTAAATGTAAACCTATTGTAATTATAGGTGTTTCTTTGAGTGAGTATCCACGCAGATTCCACTCCTGGTGCGTGAGATCTGATCCTTGTGAATAACACTGTTGGGGTTTCACCTGTACCCTTCTTGCTTCCTGTAGCTGAGGGTATAAAAAGGATGGGGTGGCTACAATGCACATTTTGTTCCTTACTGCCTGTGGCTGTGAGATGGCACCCTTTAGTGTTCACATCTCTTGCCCTGAGCAAGTTAGCTGACACAGTTCTATTAGTTTATTTTTTGCTTAGATAAGTTTTCTTTGCCCATTGACTTCTAAAAACCAAAAAACCCTTAGGTTTTCTCTCCCTTTGTACAAGGGTCTTACTCCTTGTACACACCCCTCTCCCTTGTATAATGGCCCTTCTACTCTCACCCCCCAAACAAGAACTTAAAATGACTGACTGCGGGTCACTAGGTTTTAAGGTCTGTCCCTCCTGTGACACAGGGATGCCAGTCACAGATGCTGCTGTGCCTGGGAGAGGACCTTGCTCCAGAGTGCTTCTTGATTGCCGAGTCCTTCTCCGAAAGGACTCAAATAGTGAAGGAGGCAAAACAGAAATATATCCTCTTGGAAAGGTCCATGCAAGCCTTATCAGATTTTGGCAGACTTTTTAAGACACTCCTAATATGGGGCCTATCCCATGCATTGAGTGCCCCAGTGAGCTGAGATGCCACTCTAAGCTCCAGGGCAACCTGTCATGCGTAAGCCCTGCTTGCCAACCATATTGGCAATATTTTCAGAAAAGGCTTTTAAGGAGTTCTCCCAGATACTTATCCCCCTTTCCAAACAGGATGGAAAGTCTCCTGTAAGGCTCACTATTCTAAAAGCCTAACAGTAGAGTCCTATTTCAGTTCACCTACAGCAAAACCCAAGCCAACACCAACAGTCTATTCTATTCATATGTAGGTTCTTACAGCGCACTCATTGCTGTAATATCTGAGTGCCTTCAGTAGTGCATTAAGCAGTGTGATTAAAGTCTGTCAGCTGTTGTCAGTTAGTTAGAGCAGTGTTTTTCAAATCATGAGTCGTGACTCAGTACTGGGTCGTGGCATTTAAGGCATTGGGTCGCCTTGCTCTGGTCAGCACCGCCGACCGGGACTTTAAAGTCCCGACAGCAGTGCAGCCCAGCTAAGGCAGGCTGGTGCCTACGTTTTCCGACGCTGCACAGCGCCCTGGAAGCAGCCAGCAGTGGGTCCAGCTTCTAGGCAGGGGTGCAACAGGGTTCTGCGCACTGCCCGAGCACCAGCTCCGCACTCCCATTGGCCAGAAACCAGCCAAAGGGAGTTGGAGGGTGGGCGGTGCGGTGCCTGTGGGTGAGAGTTGTGTGAAGCTGCTTGTGTGCGCCTCCACCTAGGAGCTGGACCTGTTGCTGGCCGCTTCCGGGGTGCAGCGCAGTCTGTGGCGCCAGGACAGGCGGGAAGCCTGCCTCTGCATCCTGGCTGTGCTGCTGACCGGGAGCTGCTGGAGGTAACTCTGCACCCCAATCCTCTGCCCCAGCCCTGAGCCCCCCCAAACCTGGAACGCCTTCCTGCACCCCAAACCCCTCATCCCCGGCCCCATCCCAGAGCCTGCACCGCCCCCCCAAACCCAGAACCCCTTCCTGCACCCCAAACCCTGCAGCCCCGGCTCCACCCCAGAGCCCTGACCTCCCGCACCCCAGCCCTGAGCCCCTCCCACACCCAAACCCCTCATCCCCAGTTCCGTTGGGTCATGGGCATCAACAATTTTCTTCAACTTGGTCCCCAGAAAAAAAGTTTTAAAACAACTGTGTTAGAGATCCTCTTCCCAGGGGGTGAAGCGTATGTCTTGTACTGGTAGATAAATTTTTTTTTTTTTTTAAGAAAAAATATAAATGTTGCTATGTATTTGTATTTAATGCACGTTAAAGAAATGCACCTTGCATTTGGAACAGAAGGTGGTGAGGTTTGTGATGGTCCTTAATTTTGCAGGGAGTTCATTCCAGTCTGGGCCTAACCCCAGGAAAAGTTCTGTCTCCTACACAGATGAGTTTTACCCTTATTGTAGAGAGTTTTATTGTGCCAGAGAAGGAAAGTTGTTGACCGCACTCTTTATCCTGGAGCTTTAGGCAATGTTTCTGGTATCTTGAGCCCAGGCCATGCAGCACTTTGAAGATAAGGATCAAAACCTTGAACTTGATGCTTTGTTCTATGGGAAGGCAACCTAGAGAGCGGAGGACAGATCTGATGTGCTCTCAGTAGCCTGTGCTGCTGAGGAGACATGCTGCAGCATTCTGTTTTAGTTGGAGTTCCTAAGTGCTGAAGGCTTCAGGTATGTTGCCTTGCTGTAGTTCAGCAGAGCACTGATGAAGGCATAAATAACTGAGGTCCGGTTGTCATCCAAGAGGATGGGACTGGGCCTCCTAGCCAACTAGAGATGATAAAAGCATTAATCACATTAATCTCTCTGTGTTCTTCCTTGTCTATTCCGGGTGAAATAAACCTCTATGTGTTTGAAGTCATCTGGGCATTGTACTTTATCTGGATAGGACCAATCCATTCAGGTGCACACCTGTCATCAGGGAATCCAAGCGTACTCCTAAACTACAGACCAAATTGATCAGTTATGGATGTGTGCCTTTAACCAAAGGAAACTGTACCGTGGCTGCAAACTATTCAAAACGCTTTCCTCTGCCCGCTAGTATTACCTCTGTCTTGCTCAGGTTCAGCTTCAGTCAGTCATGCATGTTCTTCATGCATGAGCTGATTTTATCCAAGCTGTGGACCATATTGGATCTCTTCCTTCACTAATGACTGTACTGCCTCTGCTACCTACAGCAAGGTAACAACCACAGCACTGAAGCCCCTGGCACAAAGTACTTCGGTATGGTCCATCTTGGCACAGAGTATGCCCATATTGAGACCCACCACTGTGGTGTGCGCTACTCACCTCCTTGGCACTGACTGAGGTATTGACTACAGTAGATGTAGGACTCCATATCAGCACTGATGCATGGCATGGAGACATCTTTCCAGGGGGCAGATGTCAGATTCTCCTTACAGAGAGGCTATGGGAGGTCATTGCTAGATCAACCTCAGTGGTGATCCCAAGACAAGGCACAGCTGACAGAACTTCCCCTCTGCTGGAAAAGACATATTTCTTTTCATCTCAGAGTTCACCCAAAGTTTCTCCCTAAAGGAATTTCCAGCTTTCACATCAATCAGTTGATTCATCTCTCTGTGTTCTTCCCTTGTCTATTCCGGGTGAAATAAACCTCCATATGTTTGAAGTCATCAGAGTATTGCCCTTTTATTTGGACCAATCCATTCCTGTGCACACCTGTCTTGGACTCTCTTTTTGGCATTCACTGAAAGGATTATATCGAGTGAGTCTCGGACTACTTCAGGACTTATGATTTGGCTAAGAAAGATCCCCCTGGACATATTAACACTGAAGCGGCCTCTGCAGCATGTTTGATTAACATCTGCATAGGAAGCAACATGGAACTCAATCCAAACATCTACACTTGCTATTCCCTGGCACAAGCGTCCAGATTGGATGCTAGCTTTGGCATGGCAGTCCTGCAATCTGTATTAAAGTAGAACTCCTGCTGCCTAGTTACTGGTAAATAGGCAACTGTTTGTTAGTCACCAAAAGTGGAATCTGTGGACAATCACTTGAACAGTTACTTACCCTACAGTACCTGTGTTGTTTTTTTTTAGATGTGTTATCCACAGATTCCATGACCCCCATTTCATCCCTGCTAATTGGAGACCTGCTTCCAAGAGATTCGTATTGGTGAAGGAACTGAGGTGTGCACCCCGCTTTTCATACACTTGGCTTCAGGGAGTAAGCGAGTATTCAAGGCACGGGCAGCCTCAACAGACATTGCTATTCAAAAGAATCCAATCTTGTGCATGTGGGCTGCATGCTCCCCTAGAGTGGAATCTGTGTGAAAATGTCTTAAATAACCACAGTTCTTAACCACAGTAAGAAAACACTCTGTTCCAGTCCTAAAATTAAGCACTGGCTTGTAATCTTTTGAGAAAGAACTTCCTGAAGGGAATGTTGTTTTTCTTTATGAAAATTAATGTAAGCATAACTTAATGGCTACAATAACATTAAAGTACGGTTTTACTCTGAAAAGTTACTATGTAGGTATGGTATATTCTTACTCAACAGAACTGCTTCCTGGGTCTATTCAGAGACATATCTGCTTACCTTGTTAAGAAATGTATTTTTTACTACTGTCAGCTCTGGCGAACCAGCAACTATGGGCTTCTCTTCTGGTTCTTACCTTAGCAACAGCATTGCTCAACTAAAGCACTAATCCTGCAAAGACTTAAGCAGGTGAGTAACTTTGAGCAATCCTATTGAAACTCATGTGTGTAAACACATAACTCACATGCTCAAGTATTTGTAGGATTGGGCCTTAAATTCCAGTTGCAGGGCTATCAGTGCAGACTCATAGTCTGCAAGTATGCCATCAATTATATTGGCTCAACTCCATTGGCAATAGTGTTCCATTGGTAGAACTGAGGCCATGCAGAATCTTTACTGATGATGCAAGAGCCAGGAAGAACCCAGCTTGACTTTAGTATCCCAGGCTGAATGTGCAGGGCTGACGGTATTTGCAAAACTAAGCAAACTTGATCTGAAAATCATTGAGACACAACAAACATTGACCTTCCTCCCCCCAATGATGTTGCATTCAGTCACTTTTCAGACTAGAACACCACACTTTCAGGTTTGTGCAATATGTTCAGCAGTCTCTTATGTATGCCAAAAAGAATAATGCACCAGATATTACATCTTTTTTTATGACATTGTACAATCTAGAATTCCCATATAGCAGCATTTGTCTTTTTGTTTGTTAATTTTGGTATTGGTTTATTCTGATTTTACAATGCCTAGTAATAGAACATTTGATCTATTTAGGTGATGTAGATGGTTCCACTGAGGCCATTCTAAACATTCTGGACAGCTATAATGCCAACGATGAATGTGAATTGGATGTGATCCATTTTGGAGTAGGTGATATCAGTGAAAATGACATAAATCTTGCTGAAACATTTCAGGGTAAAGTATAAATTTAGACAGTTATCTTACAATCGGTATGAAATCCTTCATATTTTATTAAATGAACAGGGTAGCTGTGCTTTCAGTTTTTGTTTCTCCTGTGTAATAATTAATTAGCAATACAATCAATGTAAATTTGTATGAAACATAAAAATATTAGTTTTCTTTCATAGAAAATAAATACTAGTACCTGTGCAAACAGGTATCCTGCTAGAACTCTAGTGAAAATGCAAGTAATGTAGACAAGGGTATACAAAATACTGTATTGTCTATAATGTGGCAGACAATACCTGCAAACTTGTGTGTTGGAGACAGTGCTCTAGATTTGAACCCTTATTCTGGTTGCCTTACGCTGCTTCAGCAGTGCAAAGCAGTCAGACAACTGGCTTAATCAGATCCCAGAGGATTCATTTGTGCAGGGAAGTCCTGGTGGGGGAGGTGGTTGGCCGGCATAGTGGTTCCTGTTGTAACCTCCTCCCAGTGCCCCTATGCCTGAGTTAATCCCCAGTTGCTGGAACTGCCCTGGGCCATAGCTGGGACTAAATTAGAACCTCCTTCAGACTGCTCTGATTTATGCTGGAGACCAAGATAAGGAGCTGGCCTTTTCTGGACCCAAGATAAGTAGCTCCCTTTCAATCCTGCTCCTTCATGTACCATATTGCTCAGCCGGATCACAGGATCTAACTGGCTATCTATCTGCTTTGTTACATTTAATTGTATCATCTAGGAATTTAGAGAGACAAAGTGGGTGAGGTATATCTTTAATTGGACCATCTTCCGTTGGAGAAAGAGAGAGAGAAGCTTTTGAGCCACATAGAGCTCTTTTTTTCAACCTGAAGAAGAGCTCTGTGTGGCTTGAAAGTTTGTCTCTCTCCCCAACAGAAGATGGTCCAATTTAAGATATTACCTCATCCATCTTGTCTCTCTAATATCCTGGGACTGACATGGCTAAAACTACACTGATCTAGGGACAGTATTTTGTGGAGGTTTCCATTGAAGCAACTCTTCTTAAAGTAAGATAGCATTGTTATGTACATGGTGCTTAGCGTACGTGCAGTGACCCAGTATCTGATCTCTGATTTTAAAAATGGATGGAAAAGCTAAAATAAGGAAACTGCAAAATGAAATTTTATAATCAGTAATGTTGCTTTTACTAGCACTCAATTTCAGGATATCTTGACTCCTGATTCCAAAAGGAAGAGAAAAGAGGATTGTAATTCAAATTAGTAAATGTGAAAATCTCAACCCAAGTAAAACAAACAATTTTTAGTTAAGTACAGACTGTGCTAAGAATAAAATATTACATTAATATTTCAGGACAGCCTTTGCAAGCTCATTTCCAAACGTTTTCACTTACTGCTTGAAAAACAAAGAAGTTCCTCTACTTGGAGTGTTTGTATTTAATAATTAGCTGTGGTGGTTTTATCTGTCAGGTGTCATATATGGATTCAGTGTGAATGCAAACAAATCTATTCAGCAGCTGGCTGCGAAAAAGGGAATAAAAATTAAACTTCACAATATTATCTACCATCTTATTGAAGACTTGAAAGATGAGTTGAGCAGCAAACTGCCCCCATCTGTAGTAGAGCATATAATAGGTAAGTTTTCACTGGATGGTAAATATTGCCTTGAAAAACTAGACCTTTCTTGTGGGGTAGTCCTTGATTTAAAATGGTATGTTGAGGAAATACACAAAGCTCATTCTCCGGGATAGTTTTCCCACTATACTGGATTGCGTAGAATTCTTCTGCAGTTATTCTCCTCAATACACAGTAGCAGAATGTCCAAAAGACTTTAAAGTTTTGAGAGCACAGCAAAGCATTGCATTCATTACTGGTGGAGTTTGTATTCTGTTCCCTTGCACTTAGTCCTTCCATATCTTTCCATAGGGGAAGCCTCTGTTCTTGCTACCTTCTGTGTCACGGTAGGAAAAAGCAAGGTTCCAGTGGCTGGCTGCCGAGTACAAAAGGGGCAGTTAGATAGAAAGCTGAAGTTTAAACTAATTCGTAACAGAGATGTTGTTTGGAAAGGTAAGTAAAACGGCTATCAAAACATTTATCCACACTAATATTCTACTACACATACATGCTCACCATTGGAGTTAGATTCTTAGGCCCAGATCAGGTCCTCTGATCTATACAGGCAATGGAAGTCAATGAAAATGTTTTGGTATATCTGAAGGTGGAATTTTCTCCTTAAAAAGTTGTTCAATCAACTTAATACACTATTTACAGTGGACTTCACCTAAAAAGGACATGTCTAATTCCTGCAAAGCTTGTTTTCTTGCTTAAGCAATGCTTGCAGAATTGGTTTTGGACAGACATTTTCTTGATTTAATCATCCTGGTGTTCCCTCCTCTTAAGAAACTTCCCCATGCTCTGAACCCCTGACAGCAGTCCGTGTAGGAAGGAGATAGTCAGATCAATTAAACTTTGAAAGGAGTAGCACCTGATTTTCAGAACCTGTGTAAATTATGGAGGTTCAGCATCACTAAAAATCAGAACCTTCTTGCATTGGCCTTGCCATGTAGTGTTTTGCTTTTCTGGGGAGTCGGAGGACGGAGGTTGTTTGAAGTCCACATTAGTCTTTATATTCAATCTATTTTTTTCCTGCATTGACATTCATTCTCTCTAGGATTTTTAACCTCACTGAAGAACCATAAAGACGATGTCCAGATAATAAAAACTGGCATGGATTGTGGCCTCAGTTTGGATAAGAACATAGAGTTCAATATTGGAGATGAAATTATCTGCTATGAAGAAAAGGAAGTTGAACAGACAATTTCATGGGATCCAGGATTTTAAATAATTTTACTTCACTTGAATGTAATGGAGAAAAGGCCTTGCATTATTCCTGATCACCTTTACAGAATGTTCTTATGTCAAAGACACTTACAAAGAGACTTGTATTGTAAGAATTCATTGGGTTCTTAATGGGGGTGTCAACAGCTGATATTTCAAAAGTAAAAGGATTTGTTTTAGGGGCTATGAATGACAGGGGTGGCTTCCTCACTGCTGCAGGATTGTGCCAACTTTGTAGACCCATGAGATCACACGACACAGGAAAGCATGGGAGCCAGCATGGCAGTGTTAACTCTTTGGGGACAGAAGAGAATGTGCTAGAATGACTCCTAGCATGTTTCAGATACAACTAAAAAGTACCTTTCTAGGAAGGAAAGGACTATTTCAGGTCACTGTAATACTGTTTGTATTGGTAACATCGTTTGGCTGATAGAAATAATTCACCTGTTAAAATATTATCTGAAAAGAATAAAATGGCTAGACAAACACAGAAGGAACCATTAGTGTACTGTCACTACAGCCTTTGAGAAAACAAGTGACTTTATATGAAAGATTTGGCCTTCATTTCAATACAGGCTGATCAACCAGATGATTTCATCTAAGATTTGTGACTCATGTTTGCCTGGCATAAGGTAGTCTGATTATTAGAGCGAGGGCAAGGTTCTATCCCTGCTTTGGTAGACTTGCATATTTTGAATGCCTGAAGTTAGATATCTGCATTTGAAATGCCTCTGCCTTAACCATGTTATGCTATTTCCCCTCTGTAAAATTAGGATAATAGCAGCTACATCTCAGATGTTAAGTATCAGGGGGTAGCTGTGTTAGTCTGTATCCACAGAAACAACAAGGAGTCTGGTGGCACCTTAAAGACTAACAGATTTATTTGAGCATAAGCTTTCTTGGGTAAAAACCTCACTTCCATCTGAAATGAGGTTTTTATCCACTCCTTGTTTTATCTCAGATGTTGTGATGTTAATCTTTGTGTTGTGCTTTGTGGCCCTTAAATGTGCTTTGTGGTACTTAAGTGCCAAGTAATTATATTAGTGATTTCTGCTACTGTTTGCATTATTGTAGTGTATATATTTAATGCTGTTCTGTGGTTGCTGCTAGAGCTCTTTCTGCAGTTCCCTCCTAAAACTGTCTCAGAACGTTAGACTTGTACCCAGAACTGTGTTGCTGTCTATGGGTATTCATTTTACTATTGTATTACCATGGAAAGAGTTCATCTAGCTCCTCCTGGCCTTTTGTTGCTCCTAGTTAGTTTAGATGCAGGCATCTGCTGGCAAGCATAGGGGGGGCAGTGGCCTGCTCTGTCATCTTAAAGGGATTTGTGTTTTGTCTTGACTAGCCCCTAGCCAGTCACCTGAGTGCCATGCAGGGGGATGGAGCAGGGCTCTTCTTTTCAGGTGACCCCTAGCTCAACTATAGGAGTCTAGAGAAAAGACAAGGGAACTCCCCTGGTTCCCCACCCCCTCCATGCTCCCTGGGCAAGAGAGTGAAGATCCCAGCTGCTGGTTTCTTTGGGTGGGAAGGGGACGCTCCTGTTACTGATCTCCTGTACCCTGCACAGCAATGCAAAAAAGAGGAGATACTGCCCTCATGCTAAAGTTAAACAGCAAAATTGCTGCTGACTCCCCCTCCACCCTTCCCTTTGCAGGGCCAGTGCAGAGCATGCCTAAAAGCTTGCCCAACAGCAGTAAACAAGCCATGTACAAGCAACTATCACCAAAACTGAGGCTCAAAATCCTATCAGACAAAACAACTTAATTTTTTTCCTTAGGGGTTGTGGGTATGTGACTTTTTTTTTAAATAAATATAATCTTCATGGTGTCTGATTTAGTGATATTCTGTGAGCAGTACAGCAAGCTTCTGTAAGAGTCTACTTTGTATGATGACAGATAAGACCATATTTAATGTGCAAACTGTGGCAAATTTAAAGAAAAACCCAGTCACTTGAATCACCTTGTGATGTATATAAAATAATGGAATTGACCTGTACTTTAAAATGAATGTTGCATAGCTCTGGTCTACACAACAGGGTTAGGTTGAATTTAGCCACGTTAGGGTTGATTTTAAAATTACTGCGTCTACACAACCAACCCCATTCTTTTGACTTCTGTACTCCTCCCCGGCGAAGGGAGTCGCGCTAAAATCGACCTTGCTGGGTCAAATTTGGGGTAGTGCAGACACAATTCAACGGTATTGGCCTCCGGGAGCTATCCCAGAGTGCTCCAATGTGACCACTCTGGACAGCACTTTGAACTCCAATGCACTAGCCAGGTACACAGGAAAAGTCCTGGGAAATTTTGAATTTCATTGCCTATTTGTTTGGCAAGCTCAGCAGCACAGGTGACCATGCAGTCCCCCCAGAATCGCAAACGAGCTCCAGCATGGACTGAAAGGGAGACACTGGATCTGATTGCTGTATGGGGAGAAGAATCTGTGCAGGCCAAACTCCGATCAAAAAGAAGAAATGCTAATATATATGCCAAGATCACACAGGGCATGGAGGACAGAGTATACAAAAGGGACACACAGCAGTGCCGTGTGAAAGTCAAGGAGCTCAGGCAAGCGTACCAAAAGACAAAGGAGGCAAACGGTCGCTCCGGATCAGAGCCCCATACTTGTTGCTTGTATGATCAGCTGCCTGGCATTCTAGGGGGGGGAACCCTACCACTACCCCACCACTGTCTGTGGACACCTACAACGGGGGAGTCTCACACAACAGGGAGGAGGATTTTGTGGATGAGGAAGAGGAGAATGTGCAGCAGGTAAGCGGTGAATCCGTTCTCCCTGGCAGCCAGGACCTTTTCATCACCCTGGAGCCAATACTCTCCCAAGGTGGGATCCCCGACCCTGAAGCCAGAGAAGGCACCTCTGGTGAGTGCACATTTGTAACTACAGTACAGGGTTTAAAAGAATTGAGATGCATTCGCAGCCAGTACAGCTACTGGAAAAGTCTGTTAACGTGTCTGGGGATGGAGCGGGAGTCCTCCAGGGACATCTCCATGAAGCTCTCCTAGAGGTACTCTGAAAGCCTTTGCAGAAAGTTTCTGGGGAGAGCTGCCTTATTTCGTCCTCCACAGTAGGACACTTTACCACACCAAGCCAGTAGCAAATAGTCTGGAATCATTGCAGCACAAAGTATGGCAGCGAATGATCCTGGGTTTTGGTCGCATTCAAGCAACATTTGGTCTATATCTTTCTGTGTTAGCTTCAGGAGAGTGATATCATTCATGGTCACCTGGTTGAAATAGGGGAATTTTTGTAAGGGAATAGTAAAAGGACCCCGTTCACGCTGGGCTGTTTGCACTTGGCTAAAAGGGATCATCCCAGAGAATAGCCACGCGGTGGGGGGACAGTTGAAGGGATCATCCCAGAGAATAGCCACCCAATGGGGTGGAGGGAGGTGTGTGCTGCACATCCACCCAAAAACCGCAGCCCCTCCTTTTAAATGTGAAACCGAACCGGCATTGCTTGCTATGGGAAAGGAGGGCGCTGCAGTTTGAAACCATTCCCACATGTTATGAAGATGTAAGAAGCCAACCCCACATACCAAAAGGCTTACCATGGCTGCCTGGAAACCAAATTCTCTTGCCCAGCCGTGTGTGATGTGTCACCATACCGGCAGATGCTCAATATAAAAGGCAAAATGCAACCTTGTACCTAAAGCACATGTGCTGTCTGCTGTGAATTGCTTGATTCACTGTGAAAGAGTCTCCCTTTTGTTCTCAAAATGTATCTTCTTAAAAGTCTACTCTCCCTTTTTATCCCCCCATAGGTGCAAATGTTTCTATGCTCCCCCTATAATCTCCGTCCCTGAGGTTATCACAGATTAGAAGGTGGAAAAAATGCACTCGCGATGACATATTTTCCGAGCTCATGCAGTCCTCCCGCACAGCTTGAGGCACTCAGTGGCAGAGGCCAGGAAAGCATTAAGTGACTGTGATGAGCAGAGACAGGAGGCAATGCTGAGACTAATTGGAGAGCAAACGGACATGATGAGGCATCTGGTGGAGCTGTAGGAAAGCCAACAAGAGCACAGACCCCCGCTGCATCCATTGTACAACCGCCTGCCCTCCTCCCCAAGTTCCATATCCTCCTCACCCAGACGCCCAAGAATGCGGAGAGGGAGGCTCCGGGCATCCAGCCACTCCACTCCAGAGGATGGCCCAAGCAACAGAAGGTTGTCATTCTAACAGTTTTTTGATTTGTAGTGTTCTTGTCCTTGTCCTTCCCTTCTCCCACACCCCACCCGGGCTACCTTGTCAGTTCTCACTTTTTTTTTAAATTAATAAAGAATGCATGGTTTCAAAACCATAGTTACTTTCCTTTGCTAGCTGTGATCGAATGGGGGCGGGTGGTTGGTTTACAGGGAATTAAAATCAACAAAGGGGGCGGGTTTGCAGCAAGGAGAAACACACACAACTGTCACACCGTAGCCTGGCCAGTCATGAAACTGGTTTTCAAAGCCTCTCTGATGTGCAGCGCGCCTTGCTGTGCTCTTCTAATCACCTTGGTGTCTGGCTACTCAAAATCAGCCACCAGGTGATTTGCCTTAATCTCCCACCCGGCCATAAACATCTCCCCCTTACTCTCATAGCAGTGGAGCAAGCAGCAATAACAATGGGAATGTTGGTTGCGCTGAGGTTAGCAAACAGCACCAGTGAGCTTTTAAATGTCCAAATGCACATTCTACCACCATTCTGGACTTGCTCAGCCTATAGTTGAATTGCTCCTTACTGCTGTCCAGACTGCCTGTGTACAGCTTCATGAGCCATGGGAGCAAGGGGTAGGCTGGATCCCTAAGGATAACTATTGGCATTTCAATGGTAATTTTCTGGTCTGGGAAATAAGTCCCTTCTTGCAAACACCCTGGAGTTCCTAAAGATGCGAGCGTCATGCACCTTTCTCAGCCATCCCACATTGATGTCGGTGAAATGTCCCTTATGATCCACCAGTGCTTGCAGCACCATTGAGAAGTACCCCTTGCAGTTTATGTACTGGTTGGCAAGGTGGTCTGGTGCCAAGATAGGGATAAGTGTTCCATCTATTGCCCCACCACAGTTAGAGAACCCCATTGCAGCAAAGCCATCCACTGTGACCGCACATTTCCCAGAGTCACTACCCTTGATAGCAGAACGTCAGTGATTGCATTGGCTACTTAGATCACAACAGTCCCCACAGTAGATTTTCCCACTCCAAATTGATTCCCGACTGACAGGTAGCAGTCAGGTGTTGCAAGCTTTCACAGGGCAATTGCCACTTGCTTCTCAGCTGTCAGGGCAGCTCTCATCTTGGTATTCCTGTGCTTCAGGGTGGGGGAAAGCAACTCACCAAGTTCAAGGAAAGTGCCCTTACACATGCTAAAGTTTTGCAGCCATTGTGAAGCATCCCATACCTGCAACACTATGCGGTCCCACCAGTCTGTGCTTGTTGGCCGGGTCCAGAATCTGCGTTCCACTGTATCAACCAGCCCCACTGCCGCCATGATGTCCCAATTGCCACAGCCCATGCTTTCAGGAACATGTGTGTCCACATCCTCATCACAATCGTCCTCGTCCTGGTATCTCTTAGCCAGGTTCTGCACATACTGCAGGTGTTCACAATGCTCATAACAGCAGCAGTGAGTTGAGCGGGCTCCATGCTATGGCATCTGCATGGGTAACCCAGGGAAAAAGGCACAAAACTATTGGCTGCTGTTGCTTTCATGGGGGGAGGGGAGACTGACAACATGTACCGAAAACCACCCACAACAATGTTTTTGCCACATCAGGCACCCAGAATTCCAATGGGCAGCAGAAACTGCAGGAACTGTGGGATAGCTACCCACAGTGCACCGCTCCGTGAGTTGATGCTAGCCATGGTATTGAGGACACACTCCGCTGACATGATGCACTTAGTGGGGACATACACAATTGACTGTATAAAATCTATTTCTAAAGATAGACTTCTATAAAATTGACCTAATTAGCTATCACCATATTTTAAGTTGAACTCTTTCGTCCTCACATGTAGGGTTGGTGAGCAGCAGGAGTGGAAGACCTCCTTCCGTATTTTTCCTCTGCAGCCCTCACAGCTGCATCCTGGGCCCCAGCTAGAGTTGCTCCTAAATGGGAGGGGACAGTGCAATAGGCAGGGTGGATTTGATTTAAATCACTAGTCAAGAAGACTCAATTTAATCATGGATTTCTACATAAAAATTCATTCTTGTTGGTTGTGACCTTAATACATATTCTTCACAACTCAGAGATAGATGTAGGTTTCAGTTTTAGAAGGTACACACTATACATTTTTAAAGTGATTTATTTTGAAAACTTTTCAGATTAGGTTTACAGTTGTATCAGAAAATGAATGATGGTTTGGTTATTTCAGTTACCAGATGTAATTGAAACAGATATTTATGAAGTCATTGGGAGGTGAACTCTCTCTAATTCAACAGGTTAATCATTAATATTTGGAGGATTTTCTTGCCCTGCTGTATTAGGAAAAGAACATCACCAGACAGACATTTAAATTGTTTTATTTAACTAAAACAACAACATTATGTATTCTGGATTTTTTTCTTCAACGGCAAACATATTTGAACAAAACAAGCATGAATTTTTGAATTTAGACATTCAAGTTTTTTAAAATCAGGTTTGTTTTTGTTTTTAACTAAAATAGTTATGAAATATTAAAAAAAAAAACAAAAATTAAATCAACTATGGCAGCCATGTCAACATGAGAAACTTAAAATATTGGCTTCTGCAGCTAACTCATTCATTGTCATCTTCATTTTCCTGTTTGTTCATAATCTGGAAAAGAAAAAACAAGCTTTCCTGCTTTTTCAGGTACCAAATGAAGAAAATATTCTTTCCACACCAGCAGAAGTTACTGCTGTTAAAAGTGAGATTATCACTTCAACAGTCTCTGAATCCAACTGCTTAAGTGACTTCCACCAATTCACTGGTGTGACTTTCTTTAAAACATCAGAAGCAAACATATTTCTTGAATGGTTCACCCTTAGCTCTGAAGTTTATTATAGTTGGCATTATGGAGGGATGATTGCTGGATGTCCATGTAATAGCCAACTCCTCTTCATTCAGCAGTTAAGGTCTGACCCTGGTACCAAGTACAGTATTAAGAATATTTGCAAGAAAATGAACTGGAGATAGTGCTTGTCCCATTTGTTTTTTTAATGCCTGTCATTTAACTCTGTCATTGCATATTTCTCTTTTTCAGATCTCACTCAGTTCCTTCCAAATTTCAACAGCATCAGCAATAAAACAACTATTTCCCTGTATTTTGTTCAAGGCTACAGAAATAGGCTTCAGGGTACTCAGCATGTGTTCAACATTTTCTCAGCCCAACTTTGGCTGTAACAGTGCCATCTATTTTTTCATGATTTTGTTCACAAATTGTCATCAGATTAGGCCAGTTCTTGATATAGTGCTCAAAACAGTTCACTACTGAGTTCCATCGCATGTCTTGTGGGAGAGTTAGCTTGGTTCCTCCCACTTTTTTCAGAGCAGCTGCTGCAAAGTGGTGT